CTGTTCCTCCATAGATACACTGAGTGTTGTCACCCTAAGAGAGGAAGTGTTGCTGGCAGGTTCACCAGGTAAAAAGAAAAAAGAAAACAGCCTAAAAAAAAAGAAAACTCATGCAGCCACCATATCTAACGGCTGATATGCTACATTATATTACATTTTGTTTTTGGGTTTAGATATCTTTTAATTGTTACCCTTTGTAACACTAAAACTTTACATTAGCTGTGCTGGCTGTTGAAAAATTATTTTAAAAAAAAAATATATTAATTATGCACCGATAACGATACTAGTATGGATGCCGAGTACTCATACTTGCTCAAATGCTCCGATGCCTAGCCTGATACTTGAGCTTCTGGCATCAGGAACCCGTGCAGTGAGTCATTTCACACTGCCCGACTTCCTGATTGGCCGGGAAGCTGGCTCCACGCTCCCTCGTCACAAGTGGAGGCGGCTTCCTGATTGGTTGGGAAGCTGGCCAGTCACCTCGTCAGGAACCTGGCCAATCAGGAAGGCGACTCATTACACGCCCCCCGGATTTCTGATTGGCCAAAAAACCGGCTTCATGCTCTCTTGTCACCTGTATTGATTTTTTGCTGCTTGCCATCCGGCCTTTGTAATTAAACATCTGGACGTGCAGTTTGGGTGTGCGTATGGCGGCGTATGGCCGCGTACTCCCATAGAGAAGAACAGGCTGCTGCGTACATATCGCACGCAGCACCTGACCTTCCTGGGAGTGGCCTGATACAGCTGTGCGCGCTGCACGGATCTGTACGGGTCGGCTGTTAGTCGTGTGAATGAGGCCTAAACATTGGCTGTTTACATACAAGCAATCAGACGGCTTTAGAGCCGTCCAATCGTTTGTACTGTGCGTCTCCGCTGCCGGCTATCCCCTATGAAGGCCTGGGACTGGCAAGGAGGATCAGCACACTTTCAGCAGCTGATCTCACCTCTGATCACTGAAAGCGGAAGTGATGGGTACTACATCACTGCCGGTTTCAGTTTGCCATTTCTCTGGCTACTGTACTTTGGGGGGTCCCTAGGTGCCATTAGGGGTCTAATAGACCACTGATGTGTCCATAAAGAGGACTTGTCACTGTGTCTATGTTATTACATAGGGGGATTATTATTCCCCTATGTGATAGCAATAAAGTTAAGTGTAAAAAAAAATGAAAGGCACTTATTAAAAAAAATAACAAAAAAAATCTTTAAAGTCCCCCACGTACACATACATAAAATGCAAATCGAGCTACATTGCTATTGTTATGGCTTATTACTGAATTCTGTAGTTCTGAATAAAGTTTTTTCATAATTTTCTTTTGGGCTTCATGGTGCAGTAGGACCCATCATTGTGAATAACAGCCCATTGGCACACAGAAGTCCACTTTTAGATTGAAATGGAAACTCCCTTTTATTATAAATATTTTCTTAGTCACCCAATTTATTTAGGATCTGAAAGTGGCCACTAGTTCTGATTATAACTACACTTATGGAAGTGTAAGAAGGAGCTGGGGGCCACAAAGGATAATAGGTGATGTGATAGGTGTCCCAGTCTACAGCTATAATCACTGTTTAAAGGGAAACATACATTTTATTAGCCGTTGAATAGACAAATTGCTACACAAGCCATGTTACTATTATACAGGATTTATATAGCACCAACAGTTTGCACAGCACTTTACAATATAAGGAAGACATTACAGTTACAATACAATTCAAGACAAGATTGTTAGGATTGTAATGTAAGGTTATTAAAACTTAGGTGTCTTTTTAATATGCAGCCAGTGGAAGGTAATTAGCTGATTGTCTTTCTTAGGTGCCCATACACCTTACAATTATCTGCAGATTTTCTGTGGTCAGATGGAAAAAGTGCAACAGCTTGGCCCAGGTGGAAATTACTCCATCCACACAGTTTAGCGTAGATGGAGGAATCTGTTGCACCTTTTCCATCTGACCACAGAAAATCTGCAGATAATTGTAAGGTGTATGGCCAGCTTTAGATGTGTTCCCAGAACCTGAACTCAATGCATTGCCATACTCAAGGCTTGATCTCAATGCATTGCTATACTCAAGGCTTGATCTCAATGCATTGCCATACTCAAGGATCTCATCTCTATGTAGTGCCATATTCAAGGCTTAATCTCAATGCATTGCCATACTCAAGGCTTAATCTCAATGCATTGCCATACTCAAGGCTTAATCTCAATGCATTGCCATACTCAAGGCTTAATCTCATGCATTGCCATACTTAAGGCTTAATCTCAATGCATTACCATACTCAAGGCTTAATCTCAATGCATTGCCATACTCAAGGCTTAATCTCAATGCACTGCCATACTCAAGGCTTAATCTCAATGCATTGCCATACTCAAGGCTTAATCTCAATGCATTTCCAAACTCAAGGCTTAATCTCAATGCATTGCCATACTCAAGGCTTGATCTCAAGGCTTGATCTCAATGCATTGCCATACTCAAGGCTTGATCTCAATGCATTGCCATACTTAAGCCTTGATTTCAATGCATTTCCATACTCAAGCCTTGATTTCAGTGCATTCCATACTTTAGGCTTGATCTCAATGCATTTCCATACTCAAGGATCTCCTCTCTATGTAGTGCCATACTCAAGGCTTGATCCCAATGCCAGGGATCTCAAGTCTCCCTTCTGTGTATCAGGGACTTTACTTCTCAGCGTTTTTTTAAAAAGGTCTCTGGCTGTCTAATAAATGATGACCTTTACACTGACAGATACTTGAACATCAATTCACAAATTGTTTAAAAAAAGATGCCGGGGTGCAGTGTTTGTTATTAGAAAATCAGGACTGGTGGTGTGATCATGGTAAGGACAAAGCCTTTCACTTAGCACTCATTTCAGAGAGTTCGAAAAATGCAACAGAATTATCTGTGTCATTATCTGCAAAACTGAAGCAGGTGAGGACCTGCAATCACATTCGCTAGTATGCTTGCAATATAAAGTACAACACTCACAGATGTCCAAACCGGAGTAAAGGTGGCCATACACTTTACAACCATCGCAAGACCTCAGTCTTGCGATGGTTGTAAAGTAATTTAAAAAACGTACATTCTGCCCATCTTGGACAGGCAGATCGTACTTGCGATCATCGCAAGCCCGACCCCCTGAGGGGCGGGCTTCCGATGACCGCAATGCTGAACGGGCAGTGTGCGCGTGCGGAAATGATCGTACGATTCTCGGCTTGTTTTCTAGCGTGCTCCTTAGACAAAAGACGTGCGACCGTACAGTAGAAACGGTCGCACATCTTCATTCACACTGCACGATTCTCGTACGATCGCGGGATTTCCCGCAATTCTCGCACGAGAATCGTGCAGTGTATGGGCACCTTTACACTTAGGATTAGGATGCTGTTTCAAAGTACCAGCCTGGCTCAGTAGTATCTGATGGAAGCAGCCATTCCCTTACTTACAGATGAGATACTTTTCCATGAATAGTGACCTCACAATAGGTACAATTCAAAGTGGACCTGAATCAAAAAGTAAAGATTCACCATGTTGTAGGGAACATCTGGAAATGTTAATTATTATCCTTATAAATGTACTCTTTATTTAGACTTAAAGGAGAACTATGAGGTGAGTGAAAATGTCCCTGAAGAGAGCAGTGACTGTCAGTCACCAATGCCCACAGGGATTCCCTCTCCTGTGACCCTTAAGAGAACTATAGGGAAAAACACTTACCCCATAGTTCTCCTTTAAGATAAATAAGGCAGACCAAAAAGAGGAGGAAAAGGGACAGAAGGGTTTGATTCGAAAGAAGGACAGTCCCTCCAAATGAGTTACAGTTGGGGGTTAAGAGGAATTACTACTACAGTCCCTTTATATTGACTTCTAGAGATAAGAAATGGGACAAGGCGGTACAAAGGTATACAGCAATATACAACATTTGTCTCATAAAAATGTTGTTTTTTCTTCCCAAAAAAAGGCCATTGTAGACAAAAGAAGGACAGAGGTATTTGATTCCAAAAGAAGACCTGTCCTCACAAGAGATACGTTTGGGACCTTTGGAAGGTAATTGGGTAAATTGCACCTGGCCTGCTCCCAATTCTGAAAATGTTGCTTTAGGTTAATGTCATAATAAACTCTCCCACTTTTTTTTTCAATAATGAATCCAGATCAAATAATATACATTGCCCAGTAATGCATTTCTTTACATTTTTGCCCAACATTTACAGTCCTATGTTGCAGAACAACTCCAACTCTCTCAGCTCGGCTTCCCTGAACTTCATGTCCAGTACAAGATTGCAAGGGACAGAGCAGTCTCCAGCAGCTGCCTATCTACTAGCTTGGAGGAGCGGGAAGCAGGGGAGTGACGTGCCTTGTTGTATCTGTGTGTTTATGGAGAGACACACACAGCTTACTAGAACACACACGGGTGTCTCCGTAGGACCCTGCAAGAGAGGGGAGCCCCCTAAAACAGGATATCAGGGGACCAGCTGATTCTGCAGGTAATTAATACATTTAAGCATCAAGGATTGCAAGCATTTCAAATAGCTTAAAAACCTCTTTGACTTTAATATCACTTTATTCATCCAGTCCACCCGTCTGACTTTGCTTATTGGTAACCTGTTGATTCATCATTCTTTGTTTTGTTTTTTTTCTTCTACAGATCCCCCCAAGATAAAACATTCACTAATCTGCTGCTCTTGTAAGTTCAGTTTGAAGACAGGAAGTCAAAGAGCATCAGAGCAGGAAGAGGTGAGAGCCGTATATCAGAATATATTGCAGAATGAGAACAGAGAGGAGACTTGTAGACCTCGGAGGAGAACAAGGTAGCAGCATGGTAATGTGGTGAGGAGCTGCAAGGGGAACCTATGAGAGGCTTGCAGGGAATTCAGTTCTTGGATTCAGAAGTGACTACAACGTATGGATAGAAGAAGCAGTTTGATGAGAGATAGTGGAATGCGGAGATAGGTGGCCAGGTTACTGAAGCAAAGAAGAAGAAAGGCGTCTGGCTCGACTTGGTGTTACCTCCATCTGACCTTCATCTTCACTGCATTGTGTTCCTTGGTGAGTATATTCGCAGTCAGACTGATCTGTACTGGGGCTATTACTCAAAGCAACCAATCACCTGCCACCTAAAACTAGAAATCTGGATGCTATGGGTGAAGATACACAAATATATAAATATATGAGACGACAATTGCTCAATATGGCCGTTTCCAGCCGACTTGTATGAAGATGATATGGCTCTGAGGGATCCCAGATGCTGCTATTGGTAGAAATATTGACTGGACAGCTTTGTACATGCGCCTTGATCGCACTTGTCCCCACTGTGCTACACCAGTGGTGTCAACCTCTACCCTGCTCCCCTTCCCAAACACAAGAACTGAGCTGATAGTAGGGTTGCCACCTGTCCAGGATTAACCCGCACAGTCCAGGTTTTGAATGCTGTACCCGGGTTTCATGGTAGCAGAAACCCGGACACAAGATCTCAGGCAGACAGCAGGGGCAACCAAAATTAAGATGGGGCTACTGCCCCCCTCCCCCTCCCACTGAAAATAGTCTCGACATTGACATTTATATATGAATAAGCCGTCACTAATTTTCCTAAACAAATGTCTGCGCATCGCTAGAGTGTTCGGGTTTCACTTGAAGAAAAGGTGACAACCCTAGCTGATAGACACGTGGGGTGCTCTATAGGGTCCCCATTACGTTTATGCATCCCGTAACGCTGCAGTTGATGTGGACTGCTCTAAGGCAAACCATTAATTTTGAATGGACTGGCAGCGCACCTTAATGCATGACAAACGGTAGCTACTCCATTTTTGGCAGTGCGATATGTGTTTTGTTGGGCGCTGTATGGCAGGTGCTTTGGCAGCTACTCCATGTGTGCATTGGGGTGCCATCCTGAATTAATGGCAACGCAACTCACAGAGTACCATGTTGACGCGCTTTGTGGCACTATGCAGTAAAACGCGTGTTTTACGGCATGTTCCTGCAATGCATAGATGGGTAGCCAGGTGTATATACTGTAGGTGCATGTATATGTGATGCAACTGCATCCACTGGCGTCTGCCTGAATACAATAGGTGGCAGTGCAGACTCCCCCATCCATGCTAAGCAGTGATTCAGTGATCCCCCCTTTGTCGAGTCCATGGGCTGAACGTGTACACATGTATGGCTAGTACACATCTATGGCTAGTACACATCTATGGCTAGTACACATATATGGCTAGTCTTAGTGAACATTAGAACTGGAGAACTGGCTCGATATATAACTGTTCTGATATAGGAATATCCTCTTATCAAAGTGTATCAAATGGCAAAACTTTGATACACTTTGTGAGGATTTAGATCCTCTGGCAAGTTTTTATTGCTGTGTTATTCATCTGTCTATTTGACCTAAGACCATTGTCACTGAGACAGAAAATGAGGGGAAATTCACATTTCTAGTGCTGTCAGGAGGTGATGGTAAGTTATTCAACAGGGAAAATATGACAAATGGCTAAGAGACTTCCCCTTGTTTGTAGAGATTTCCTGTCATTTCCTGTTGTGTCTCTGTGACAGGAAGTGAAGGGTTATCTCCCCAGCCGGACATAGACAGCACAAACTAGCCTGATGTGGGATTTAACCCTTCACTGCTTTATCCAAAACTGAAAACGTGGTAGCCGTACAAAAACATTAGACACAGGCAAGTCTGTGCGTCTTATGGATGATTGTCTGTTGACAAGTCACCCTGGAGGGGGGCAGAACATATAAAAGCGCAAAGCTGCTAATACATTACAGCAGAGATACCTGTATGACATTACCGGCACTGCCAGAACTGCACACTGCCGCACTGTGTGACATTACCTGCACTGCCAGAACTGCACACTGTATGACATTACCTGCACTGCCAGAAATGCACACTGTGTGACATTACCTGCACTGCCAGAACTGCTGCACTGTATGACATTACCTGCACTGCCAGAACTGCCGTACTGTATGACATTACCTGCACTGCCAGAACTGCACACTGTGTGACATTACCTGCACGGCCATAACTGCCGCACTGTATGACATTACCTGCACTGCCAGAACTGCTGCACTGTGTGACATTATCTGCACTGCCAGAAATGCACACTGTGTGACATTATCTGCACTGCCAGAACTGCACACTGTATGACATTACCTGCACTGCCAGAACTGCACACTGTATGACATTACCTGCACTGCCAGAACTGCACACTGCCGCACTGTATGACATTACCTGCACTGCTAGAATAAAAAATCAAGCAAATGAGGTAAAACTATCCATTAGTCTGGCTTCAGCTAGATACATTGATTAGATCTCCTGTGCTGTCCATTCTCTGTGCTCTCTGTGTGTATTCTCTCACTCTTGGCCAATCAGCTCTGTTACATGAGGGGTCTATAGCCCTGTGTATACTGCAATGCTGGTGGCTTATATCTTACACAGGACTTTGTATCCAGGGCAAGTGATACAAAAGGTAATACCTGTTTGGGATGGTTTAATGGAAGAAGTGAAAGGATGGTTATATTGAGGTGGAATAGGCCTCCATGAAGAGATGAGTTTTCAAGGGAGTTCCTCCTCGAGAGGAGGAAATATTATAAGCTCAGTTCTGCACAGATTTAGTTTGAGGAAGTGGTGTGACATCCATGTAGATATGTCAGTGAGTAGATTAGTGATGCGTGAGGAGATAGAAGGGGTGAGCTGAGGGGTAGAGCGATATATTTGGGTGTCGTTAGCATGGAGAGGGTAATGGAAGCCACGGGAGGTTATCAACTGACCCGGGGAAGAAGTGTAGATGGAGAATAGAAGGGGCCCAAGGAGAGAGCCTTGGGGGAACCCTATGGAAAGAGGAAGAGGAGGATGTAGAGCTATAGGTGACACTGAAGGTGCACTGGGATAGGAAGGAGATGATCCATGAGAGAGCAGAATCTTGGAGTCCAAGGGATTGGAGTTTATTAAGGAGGACTGGGTGATCAACGGTATCAAAAGCAGCAGACAGGTCCAGGAGTATGAGTACATAGTAGTGGCCATTGGTTTTAGCGGTTAGTAAATCGTTGGTAAGTTTTAGAAGGGCAGTTTCTGTGGAGTGCTGCTGACGAAAGTCAGATTAAAAGGGGTCGAGGAGGTTGTTAGCAGTAAGTTGGCAGCTCGGGCGGTTTTAGACCAAGTGTTTGGAGGTAAATGGGAGCAAGGAAATGGGTCTCAAATTGTTCAGACTGGTGGGCCCCATTGAGGGGTTTTTAAAATAGGGTTCATGCTTATTTTAGAGGTGTAGGGACAATGCCAGTGGAAAGGAAGAGATTGTAGAATAGAGCTAAAGGGTGACCGGAGTAGTCGGAGTAGTTGTGAGGGGATGGGGGTCTAAGGGGCAGGTGGTTAGGTGGGTGTTGGATAAAAGAGTTGCTACTTTGTCTGCAGTGACAGGATCAAATGAAGAGATTATTGAATGTGGTGGTAGACACGGTGTATTCAGAGTGGCAGATGTCTGGACGGTGGCAGCCTCATGGTGAATTGCATCAATCTTGTCTTTGAAGTGATTGACAATATCCTGGGCAGTAAGTGAGTTGGTTGGAAGAGGTGGATGGGGCGAAGTAGAGAGTTAAAAGTAGAAAAACGTTGACGGGGAGTGAATGAAAGGGTGTTAATGAGTGTGATAAAGTAGGTCTGTTTGGCTGTGTGGAGGCAGGTACTGTATTTTTGGAGGGTGGATTTATATAGGGTGAAGTCTTCCAGTCCTCCATGGATTTGGATCTATGCCATTGTCGCTCCAGAGCACGACTATGTCTTCTAAGTCTTTTAGTGTCATCTTAAAGTCATCCAGCCCTGGCAAAGCACAGGCTCGCTTTAAAGTGTATTTCCACATTTGCAGTCAAATTTGAAAACCCCGCTCTACATATTTGTTAAGTTAAACTCCTGGCAGATAGCTAAATATGCAGATCCCAGGCCCCCCTAACCCCCCCTCCGCAGATGGGGGGGGGAGGGCACCTCCCTGAAATGAGAGGGGGACACCTACCTGAAATTTCTTATTTCACGTTTCAATATTCATCCTCTTTGTGGTTCTTGATCGAGCTCCTGTGTAGGTTCATCCTACATATACTGTATATATGGTATATAAAAGCTGTTTTTGTATTTCTGTTTTCTGACCATTGCACTGCAGTATACCTGCTTGGCTTTTTGTTTGGCAAGAGGGCGATACTATGATGGGAATTGTTGTTTGTTACCTTTAAAGCCCCATTTCTTTTTTAGCTTTATCTTTACTCATAAGAAGCCGAAGTCAGATTTTGGTACTTACACAGCTTGCATTAAAAAAACACATTTAATGATTTATGAATGAATACAGAGCTGCATTAGTTTGTGTCTTTTATATCTGCTGAGAATTCATTTTGAACATGTTTGGTGAGACTATGTGCAAGCCATTGTGGAAGAATTCCCTGTTCGCATTAGACATGCACTGTCCCAGAAAAGACGACATGCCCGCTTCATGAAAAAACTGCACTCTGTAAATAATAAATTATGTACAGAAATAGCATATCGCTTTTCTATGGCATGAGTCACAGCTCTGATGTCCAGATTGTAGTCTGGGTCCTGACTGAACTGGGTCACAGAGATTTACTTTTTTATATGAGGAAGTGTTGCTTTTCAAAAAGTGCTCAGTTCCTAGATAAGCTTTCATTCAGTGGCGTCATTAGGGGGGTGCGTCCCACACCCGTGTGACACCAAAATGACTGACAGTAATGTACCTAGAGCCTGACAGTTGCATGAGAGAGGAGGAGACCCGGCGGCATACCTTATCCCACCGGGTGAACATCCCTTCCTCTCTCTTCCGGCGTGCGCGGTGAGGTCATGGCGGGGGGTCACCCGGTGGCTGCTCCGGGTGACACCCCGCCTTGG